AAATACGGAAAAAAGCCAAACAATAAGATTTTTAGGTTATCTAACTGATTAACCTGAGTAGTGAAAGACCGCCGGGATCTGAAAACATTTTGTGGTGAGAGTCCGGTGTTCTCGCCGGCTCTGGTGACTCTGGTGGGTAACAGACGTCTCCGAAAACGTCGGAGCACTTTTGTAAATATGTGGTGTCTTGATAAACCGAGCAGATATTTGAAGTTTACACAGCTACATTCTCGCCTGAAAATATGTTAAAAGTTTTATTTTGTGACCCAGAAAGATTAATATTAAAACTTAGTAGCTGCCACCATTGTTGGTCCGTTTATCGTTGGGGTTTTCTCTGTATTATTATGGGGTCTTTACCTTACAATACAAAGTGCTTTCTGGTGACTGTTGTTGTGATTTGGCATTTGGATATGATTGGCAGTACTGTGATGGGATCCTGCCCAAAACCACATCCATGACCTTGACTTCTACTCTTTCTTCCTGTACATGTATGTGAAGGGAACACTACTTCAGCATTTGAATTTCTCCATTGTCATAAATCATGACTTGAGAAATTTCCCATATACATTTCAGTCAGTGTGTTTTTATATGAGCAAACTTCTTCTAAGTTTAGCCTGGTTTGTGAATCAGACTGAAGCCAATTGGCCAAAATAATCACATCAGCTGGTATAGCTCCTAGGGGCTTTGTAAAAGGATACTTTACTGAACCCTGAAGGGTCATTGGCTCCATCGGTTAGAAAGCTAGAGGTCAGCTTTGACCACTGAACAGCAGGCAGAGATTTAGAGTCTCGTGTGAGATAATGCAGAGACGGTGGCTCGGTGAGCCTGTCACCGTGCACTTTATCCATTGCAGTCCCGTCGCGTCTGTGTTCTTTTATTTCCCCCAGTCAACGACTAACAATGACTTATGTGCAGATATGTTCTCAAACCAATTTACTCTGCGCTTAAATATTTGCAGCACCCACACGGCACTCGCCGCAGAGCTGTCTTATCTACTGATGCGACCTGGCAGAGAGTCAAAACCGTGACATTTAAAAAATTCCCGTCCTTTCACTTCGACTCATCTTCAGTAGATGATTTTCAGATGAGAGTAAAAGTTTGTTTGGATTGGCAAATTATATCAGCCTGAAAAAAATGACATTTAAGTGCCGTCGCCGTAGCAATATAACGAAAGCAACAGGAAACGTGACGTCTAACGGGAAGGTGAAGAAAAAATCTATAAGCTGCTCATGAAAAAACAAGACAGGTGAGGTGAAGAATCTATGAGAGAAACATGAAAAATTCAGCGCTGAAAGGATCTCATTAAGATTTGCTTGTGTACCAATCAGTGTGCGCTGTGCTCTGAGGATGGCCCAGTTGGCTGCCTTCGTTCCCAGCTGCACGTGTGTTGTGTGTGTTTAAGTGTATAAACCCATCATGCATGCGCGTGTGTGTGTGTCTGCCCTGCTGTTTGGCGGTCTTTCTGACAATGTTAGCACTGTAGGCAGAAGTGTGTTTGGATGTGTGCACAAGTCTGCGCATTTGTGTGTTTCCATTAACTCCAGATTGATGTAGTAACAAATAGGCCCTAAGGCCTCTGTACACTGATTGCAGCAGGGACACCTTTTAATGGGCACTGCATTCTCACCCCTACCAAACACAAACACACACACACACACGGCCACAGCGTGACCCTGTGGTACATTTTTAATTATCATCTTGTTTTAACCTGGGGGAGATTTACATCAGCAACCACAGTTATGTTCTTCATTTTCCTCCACCCCCCTCTCTCCTCCACTCGTCTGCTCCACTCTTCTTCTTTATATTTACACTTTCACTCATTTTTTCTCTTCTTTCCATCCTTTTATTCTTTCTGTCTCATTTCATCTTCGGTACCTTCACTTTCTATTTCCTTTAATATCGGTTTTATTTACTTTTTCCTTCTCTCTGCCGTCCTGCTCGCCACCGCTTTTGTCATTATTCCATAATGCCTTGGGTTATACATGCGATTTCCTGTTACTATGCCGACATGGTCCAGAGGCAACAAACAGACAAAAATAACTATTAAACATAAATGTGTGATATTTGTGTTAAAAGAAATCAAAAGTAAAATCAGAAAAGCTAACAGTGTTTGAGGAGTTCTACACACATCCCGGATATCCTGGAAATTCATCCTTACTCTGAATGTGCAGCTTTGTAATAAATGTTAAGTACTACTGCTAAGGATGAGCAACTTAAATATGTGAAAGAGATGAGAATAAATGAGTTATTGGAAGACTTGTGGTGTTTTTATCTAATCAATAGTAATACTTTGGATGGAGTCCAAAGAATAAAATATGTTTTCTGCCTCTTTAAACACATTCAGAGTTTCCATCTCTTAATACATTTTTGTTGCCAATTAAACTCTTTGATTGTTTCCAAACTGTCACAGTCAGAAATATATTCAAATTGGAAGTCAAAAACAAACATTTCCAAAACTGGGCATGTTTAACTGAGTATTCAGGAAACGATCAGTTCCCATTATTTTTCCCAGCATAACAGAGAAATGGAAGTGACAACGCAGCCTGACAAACAGAGCATAAAGATTGAGAACCAATGTGAGTATAAGATCAGTGTTTCTGAAATTATGAAACACCGCGATATGACTCGCAGTTTAATTTAACACCGTAAAATGTGCTTTCTGCTCATCGCAGGCTCAACAAATTAAGGTTCATCATTTAATTCAATAATCATTGTTCTCAGATCGATATTTAAACCCGGTGAAGCTCAGCTAATTGTTGGACTGTCACACGCCTCTGACATCTGTCCATCCATCTTTCTCAGACATCCACCCTAACGGCCTCCAACTCTTTGATTCCTGTTTCCATCTATCTGTCAACTCCTCACAGCAAAGTGTTGCTATTCTGATGACCAAGCTGGATCTATGATCCAAACACAACCTGCCAGCTCATTTCAAATCTATCGCATGTGACTCATTTGGTGCAGAGGGTGCCGCTGTAACGCTGTCGTGCTTCATGTCTTTGGCATCAGTTTGGGATTAGTTGTTGTTGGGATACTTTGGAACCATTTCATTGATTTAAGGCTGTTATTTATTGCCTGATTTGCATTGAATGGGCAGAGGAAGAACTAAACAGTTCAAAATCTCTCTGCGGGCTGGTGACTGGGACGTCATTTTGAAAGTAGTTGCAGTTCTAGAACTTTTCCTGAGTAACAGCCCCATCGGAGATTTTAACATGCACTCATTCACGCGACTACTAGAGGTCTACTACACAATCAAACTCAGCCATTCATAAAATTCAGAGCAAGCTTTTTAAGGCATCTAAATGCTTCACTTCTTTTTCAGTTTTCTCCTTTATTGAGATTCTTTTAAGTGATTCTCTGTTTTATGGATGTTTTTCTTGTTTTTGGCTGCTGTGAGACAAAAATAACATAATAGCAAAATAATATCTAAATAAAGTACATCTGACCTTATATTTAGATTTTATAACACAACGAAATTAATTTGCTTCCAAACTTTTTGTTTTAAGACAGAAGTATTGCTACCATCCAGATTATAAAACAACCAAAGTTGGCTTAAAGTTGGTCCGTCTCCCCTTCATAGCTGTGCTGCTGCTGCTTTTAAATCCCCACTTTGTGTTAGACTCACCCAACCTTCATGTCAGGGATCGTCACCGATGATGAGAGTCGGGTCTCCAGCTGTGACCCAGAGACCAAAAAGCAGTGTTTAGTAGTAACGTGTCCAAGCCCGAAGGTGGCCGATCTGACCGGTAGCGTTTTTTGTGTTTTTTACTGACACTCTCTGTGTTTTGTTCCATAAATTATCCTTCAACTAGTCCTCAGCTGCTGATGTTCATTTCCCAATGACACGCCAAGCACTCTGGGAAATTAAATAGCCTTCATGGAAATCACCTAAGCACACACAGGCACACAACCTGTGCTTTTTAGCATTATGCAGATGAATTAGCCACGCGGACGTCAGGCGCACATTCGCCAAATTTATTCTTGATTTTGATAAACATTTGAAGTCGTTGCACAGATTGATGTTTTCATTTCAGTTTCATTAGCTGCTGCCTGAGTTTAGACACCACACAAACAAGTCACGCTCTCTGATACTTTCACACATAGAGCAGTATTAGATGCTGCTGTGAGGTTTGCTGTGAAAGGCAGGGGAAGATAAGGAGGTAAGCTTTCTTCTCTTTACTGCCCCCCCCTCCCCCCTTTTCTTCTCTTTCTCCGTCTGTCTCTGTCTTTTTCGTATTTATCTCTCTACGTCTGTCTCCCTCTGTGCCGTGTCTGCCTCTATCTCACCTTCCTTCCATCTGTATATCTTCCCTCCATCACACTCTCTATATCTCTGTCCTTTTGTCTTTCTCTTTAAGGCTCATTCAGCCTTTTATTTTTTCTTCAAATGCTTTAAAACTGTGAGGCGCTATATCAATATTCCCCTTCAACCTGTCACAGACAGATAATGTGAGGTAAGAGCGGGATAAAATGAATGCAAGAAAGGTCTTAATGTTTCCGACATCCATCCTTCAGAGAGACTCTGGAGTCACCGTGCTGCATCATTCTGCACCGAATTCCATCAAATGATCGGCAG